GGTTGGGCGGGTTAGATGGGTTTGAGCTCAAATTGCCACCCCTAGCCACAACTGTATAAACCTCGGTCCTAATCCATGCATACACATAGTAGAACGTGGTTTAGCAACTAAAAGGGGGTAGGAAAAGGATTTGAAGGGATTCATCTCCAAACAAGAATTTTCAAAGCCAAACGTAAGATGGAACCTAAGCCTAGATTTTAACAAGAACTCAACATGAGTATTGAATTTTTTTTTTATAAGTACCATGAGTATTGAATTGTAGTTACACAGGCTGACTTAAAGGTTGAGTTAAGGTTACAATGATTGGATTTTCACACTTTGTAAAGAAGTTATGGATTAGTTGACCTATAAATTTGATGATAACTGGAATTATGATAAGATTGCAAAACTCTTGCTACGGATAGAACTCTGACAACTAGTATGAGGAAATTGATTTAGTTTAGTTGGGTAATGTGAACGGGCAACATATATAACTAAATATGGTTAGAATGATGCTATTTCACAAAAGCTTTACACTAGATCTATATTACATGATTATAGATGAAAACTTAAAGATTACTGAATTAATTAGAGATAAGTCCAGCAGAGACTTGGAACTGAGGTAAGTAATAGCTCTACCTATAATTAGTTTCTTTGAAATTTCATGAATTTCATTAAGTTGATAACGTTTTATTAAAATATGGTTAAATTAAATGATTTGATAAAGATAGTATGTGTAGACAAGCCTACAATACTATATGCATATCATCTGTTTTGATAGAATGCTTCTTGCAAAGTACTGAATGTTCAAGACGGTCTTAAAATGTGTATTAGTGCATAAGTAACTCGCATCATATGAGCATGTATTGAACTTATTCTTGTAAAGCTTTAAAACATGTTTGACTTATACTTACATGTATTTACACAAATGCTACTTCAAGTAGGTGCGCATAACCTAAAAGAAATTGCTTTAAGAAAGCCAGAAAGGCTTCGGGCGAAAACCAAAGAGATAGAGAAGTGTATAAGTTCGGATTGCATTATCTTTTAGGTTTAGTGGATACAATAGCCCTTCCTCATCAGGTTAGCAAAGCATGTACTCCCATAGTTATAAAAGAAGCAGAAGGAAATACTTTGAGATAAAGAGAATCTCGAGAAAAGAAAAGTACTATTTCGATATGACTCAAGTTTGTGATCATACTCTGATGTAAAAGTTATACGTTTGAGCAGAATCTACAAAATGATACTTTAACATATACGATACACAATTTATTGAGCAAGTATGAACATTGTTCAGAGTTCCTTATTATGTATTTGATAGAATACACTATTTTAAATGCATCGTTTGTCCCTAGTGGTTGTAAGGTTACTATTTACAGAGTCGGTGGATACACCCCTTCCATTTACGTCTTCACATATCCAGATGCAGAGTTGAGTCAGAAGGGCTGAGTACCACTGTTGGCACTTGAGCTACTTGAGCTACTTGGTGCTCCACATATTGTTTATCTATTATGTCATGCTGATTTCCTTTTGTTTAGAACTTCATATTTGTTGGTTCAATATTAGAGTTTGCTCCATGTAATCCATGACAGGTTCTGAATTGAGTAGTGTATTAGATTTACAAATGCTAAGATTGAAGCATCTACTATAAAATATACAAACACATTGCAGACATGAAAGCTCACAGATACAAGAGCACACTACAAAAGCAGCAGAAATCTAACTCACTGGAGAACATGAGAAGCCATCAAGAGTTCTGGTTCACCTCCCCACACATGAGACTTCCTTATCCGGGCAACATATGTGTCAAAATCACCTTCGATGAACCTGGATGGATATCAAACCATCAATCATATGTCTACAACCCAAAAATTAGAGCAATGAGGCTCTTCACCGCACCTGCCCAGCTATTCTCCCTACTAAAAAAAATAACAAAAGGAATAAAAGATGAAGTGCATGTTGACGAAAGTATCTGAAAACCAGAAACAACTACATATCATTCTCCCCTCATTCTTCAGAGTAGAATTCCATGATTTTTACTGTTTAATAGCAACTTACCTACATCAGAATTCGTCAGAACTAAGAACTTAAACTTGCATATGCTTTAGACTTACCATTCTGTCTCTTCTCGTCTCTTTATAAATTCATCTGCCACCTAATAGATAAAATGAACTAGAGTAAGCAGAAATTGCAGCAATTTTTGCTTCCAAACAATATGAATTTGTAAATGCCCCCCTTATTTTGTTCTCTCTCCTAAGCTAATTTTCATTTTTCTGCTTTTGTATACTTTTCATTTCCTGTTTGCAGGGGTTGGGTTACCAGTGCTCTAAAAGCAAATCTTAACTGACAACCAAGATCTCACAGAAGGTATGACATCAGAAGAACAGAAAAACATTAGACACTCCAAATAGCCAGGAATTAAGACGCGTTTGCAGAAACAACAGTTGAACAAGATTACAGTGATCACTTCAACCCTTTCGAACTTTATCACTTTAAATTTTCAGTCTTTAATAGTCTGCAAAGTGTCAGCACATTGTCTAAAGTGTTATCATTTCACGCTTCAGCCAATAAACAGGGAGCTGCAAGTTTGTTAAGAACACATCATAGAAGAAACTAGGCAAACATACACTGGCCCGCAATTCATCCGCCAATTGCCTCTGTAGGTTCTCATCAGGAGGGGGCTTCCCTGACCTTAAACAAGCACCATGAGCAACAGAACGAAATAAACATCTTCCATCTCCAGGTATACCTGCATGAAATGAAGCAGTCTTTTCCATCAAAATAACTTCAATACTACTACGAGTTAATTTTGCCATTTTAGGCAAGGGCCTTGAATTCCAATATTACTGCATGTACAATGCTTCCACATAATCAACAAGTGTCCTGGTAGTATATCAACCAAACTTGGAAAGAACAGAAAATAAAAGTCTAGAATGCACCACTCACCAATTACGGAGTAGTCAGTATAGACCTTCTTTCCATGTGAATAGCCAGTGGTTGAGGAAGCACAGTTATTTCCCCTATTTTCTGCTGATGATTCCGCATGTACCGGTTCTGAGGCTGAGTAGCAGACCAACAAGCCAATAAATAAGCCAGCAGATGTATGATGTCTCTGTCCAGAAATATGCCCAAGTTTTCGTTTGTTTTTTGGAATCTTTGACTGAGTGGGCACGGAAAGCCTCATATTCACATTTTGGGACCGAAGAGAAATATCACAGCACGCCTTCCAGGTATATCTGGGATTAACTGCAGTTTTAAGTGTTAACGAGTGGCAACTGCTCTTCAGCTTGGAGATACTAGACCCAACACATCTTTTATGGGATCCCTCAAAGTTAATTGAAGATGAGAAACAATTTGACTTGGCCGTAGAAATAGTAGAGTAATGGAGTTTTGTAGGCTTGGTTGAGATACAAAAACGCAAAGAGTTGGCTGGTGCTTGCAAAACTATATTACAGAAGCGACTTGCCATTTGTCTTCTCGCATATCTGCTCAGGAAACACAAGTTTATCATATAAGTACTGATGTAAGAACTGACCATTGTTCTAGAACAGCAGCAAGAAAGCAAAGGACTATAAAACCTAAACTCACAATTGTTTTATATAAAGTCAACCAGGATAATGTGTCACTTGGATTTACTGGTATCAATTGGCTCTAGTGCAGCTGCATATTCTTCAAGCAATTGAAACCAGATTTATATACCCATATATTAGTTAATTAAGCTTAATGTCTTATTTGTCTAAATCTCCACATATTTCTTAGAGATGAATAAGATGATAGGCAAAGTAAGAAGCAAAGACTGCAACAGTTTGGATGCCATAAAGTGAAAGCCTACAGACTGCTCAGAAGACAAATATCAACATGGAACTTTGCTCATACAAACACCAGTACCGTACAGTTTATTCCAGTATGAAAGCTCTTCCAAGACATTATATTTTCTTATATATGAACAGAGACATTTCACTTAGAAGCGTAAAATATATTCCATATAGCCTTTTTGACAAACATATGTTGCAGTTTTCTCGATCAAGTGATTCAAGTGGTTATTATGCATTATTGGGATATTCAATGTCATTTTTAGGACGAAAAGGATGCCTGAGGAGTGGAGATGGAGTACGATGATCCCATTATATAAGAACAATGGTGATATCCAAAATTGCAATAACTATCAAGGAATCAAGCTACTGAGTCATCCTATGAAAGTATGGGAGAGGGTGGTGGAGCGGAGGGTGAGGAAGATTGTGTCTATCTCAAAGAACCAATTCGGATTTATGCCGGGGCGCTCAACTACAGAAGCCACTCACCTTGTTAGGAGGTTGATGGAGCAGTATAGGGAGAGAAAGAGGTATTTGCATATGGTGTTCAACTTAGAGAAGGCTTACGATAAAGTGCCGAGAGGGGTGTTGTGGAGATGTTTGGAGGTTAGCGGCGTTTCTGTTGCATGCATTAGGGCTATTCAAGACATGTACGATGAAGCTAAGACTCGGCCCTCGGGAGAACAGTGGGAGGGGACTCCGAACACTTCCCGGTTGTGATGGGGTTGCATTAGGGGTCAGCCCTTAGCCCATTTCCGTTTGCCCTGGCAATCGATGCGCTGACGCAACGCATTCAAGGGGAGGTACCATGGTGCATGTTAATTGCAGATGATATTGTACTGATTGATGAGACGCGATGCGGTGTTAACAAGAGGTTAGAGGTTTGGAGGCAGATCCTGGAGTCTAATGGTTTCAAGTTGAGCAGGACCAAAATAGAATACTTGGAGTGCAAGCTCAGTAGCGCGACTCAGGTAGTGGACGAAGACGTGCGGCTTGATTCACAGGTCATTCCTAGGAGAGAAAGTTTTAAGTACATTGGGTCTGTTATACAAGGGAATGGAGAGATCGACGAGGATGTCATACATTGTATTGGGGCGAGATGGATGAAATGAAGGCTTGCTTCCAATATTCTGTGTGATAAAGAATGTGCCATCAAAACTTAAAGGTAAGTTCTATAGAGCAGTGGTAAGACCGACTATACTATATGGGGCGGAGTGCTTGCCAGTCAAGAACTCCCATGTTCAGAAGATGAAGGTGGCGAAAATGAGGATGTAGAGATGGATGTGTGGGCATACCAGGTTGGATAGAATTAGAAATGAAGTTATCCGGGATAAGGTTGGCGTGGCCCCTGCGGAGGATAAGATGCAGGAGGCGAGACTTAGATGGTTCGGGCATTAAAAGAGGAGAGTCTCTGATGCTCCGGTGAGGAGGTGTGAGAGGCTGCTATTGGAGGGCCAACGGAGAGGTAGAGGCAGGCCAAAGAAGTATTGGGGTGTGGTGATTAGGCAAGATATGGCGTTGCTCCAGCTGACTGAGAGGACATGACCATAGATAGGACGGTGTGGAGGTTGAGAATAAAGGTAGAGGGTTAGGTAGCCGAGTGTTGTCTTTGTTTGTCACGGTAGTTTAGTTACATCTCTTAGTGTCCTTCGGGTACTACTTTTTATCCCTAAATTGCTGATATTACTTATTGCTGCCTTGTTTCGATTTTCTATTTGCATTACTTAGTGTTAGTTTTCTATTTTCGCTTTGGTTGTCAGATTAGTTTGCTTGTTATTACCCCGTCCCTTTTTCCGCCCTGAGCCGAGGGTCTTCCGGAAACAGCCTCTCTACCTTTTTAAAGGTAGGGTAAAGTCTGCGTACACTCTACCCTCCCCATACCCCACTTGTGGGACTACACTCGGTTTTTTGTTGTTGTTGTTGGTTAGTCTTTTCTTGTAGGCGCCTTACATGCAAAAAATGCACCATGTATCAGGAAAAAAAAAAGACTTATCAACTGAAGAGCAAGGAGCATATCAATATGCCACATGAATTTCGGAACGCAACAACCAATATCAACCATATAAATCTTGTTATCCCCTATAAACTGACAGAATTGAGTCAATAATGCACAATATCTCATACAGTACTTTTTATTATAAAAGAAATAATCATCATTGCCTTCGTATGGTACTTCATTCTTTCTCGAAAGGGAAAAGTTAGTGAAGTGGTTCAAAATCATATGGTACTTCATTCAAAATGAGCAAGCTGTCTCTTAAGCCAAATATTAACACTCATTTTGAAGTAACGGAAACCAACAGAAAGGAGGATCCAAAGTATCAGCCTTATTGGGTAGAATGCCTTCCGTTGTGGGTTATCAACCCACCCTAAGTACCGAAATGGGTTCTTTACAAGAAAAAATTACTTCTACCAAAAAAGGGTCCATAACCTCTATTCAAGCAGTTATGTAGATTTTTGAAAAATCATGCAAATGATCCTTCAAGCATTGATCAAAATGATAACCACGTCGTAACTATCTAGTGATAGCAGCTATCACATTTCCATTTCAAGTTCATGTTTGATAACACAAACAATTATGGAAATTATGAAAGTGCCAAAACCATTTCATGGGACGATCCTTAAAGCACCAACAATGCCAGAGAAAAGCACATACTCTAGGAAATAAAGGATGTGGAAACAAATGATAGGTGTAACTGACTGGCTGCCCAAAACCTCGATACTAATGCAGGAGCTAAATCGACATTTCATGAACTATATATGGTCTCAACATGACATTTTCCAATGTGAATCCTTCTATCTCCTTATCAATGGTTAATTAGTAGAAACATCAAAGATCTCACAAAATAACTCCTTATATCCTATACGTATGACACATTTGATTGGCACGGAGTTCTTAAGATATTAGTTTAACTTTTGTATTATATAGGTTTGGAAGAAAGTATTAAGAAGTTCTTTAAGAGTTAGTTTGTTCAAGAAAATTTCACATTAAGGTTAAATGTGAAAATACTTAAACTTTGTGAAAGTTGTCATTTATCAACAAAAAGAGACTTGTGAATTTGTATAGTTTTATAGTATTAATATTTTGCCAAACATTCTAGGATGCTTAAAATGGAAATTATTTGGAGATAAAGAGACATCAATACACAAGTAACTATAAGATAAAAAAAAGGATTTAAATTATATATATTGACATTATAATGATTTTCTTACACCATCATTATAATTTAACTTGATATAACATGTTATTTATTTATTTTAGGTAACCATTAATGTTAATAAATAGAGTTAGCTGTAATTACCTTTTTAGTGACCTCATTATGTAAATATTTTTTACAACGCCCGTGGATAGAACTTAAAACAGAAGGATAAATAGCTATGGTAAACTAAGTATATTAAAGAATGCTGATTTTGAAAAGAATAAAAATAAGAACAGTATAAATCCAAACTAAAACCATCCACAGAAAATGAAGGATGAACATACAGTAAATGACTATAAAACAAGGATTAGGGCTAGAAACCTACAGAAGAGCGATGTCAAATATATATCAATTGAATGGTCGCCTGAACGCAAAAATCAAGATAGACAAGAAAATTCAGAATTTAGAAAGTCTACATAGAAGCAAATTGAAGCAAAGTAAAATTGAAAGCAAAGAATGTAAGAGTAGTGAAGAAAAGAATAACCTTTGAATTCTGATAAATGTTGAAGAAGAATAAAATACAAATGGTAAATTGTCCCCGAGCAACCAGTTTAAGCACCACTTTTAGGTGCCAACCGTTTGCGTCAGAAGCTTCTACTAAATTCGTGTTAGCTGGAAGAACGTTGCTTTATCCAACGGAAATCTAAGTGGAATGTACTTAAAAAAAAAAAAAAAAAAAAAAAAAAAAAAAAAAAAAAAAAGTTGAACGACACAATTATCCACTAAAACAAAAAAATTATCCTTGACAATTTATTTACTTTTCTATCCATCAAATTAATTACTTTTCTTACCCATAATAGCTTTTGTGGCTATTTTCTTCTTTTTTCTCTTTTTTTTTTTTTACTGCTTCTTTTCTTTCTTTTTCCTTTCCTTTTTTCTCGTCTTCTTTTTTTTTTCTACTTTTCTGTTCATTTATTTTTTTCCCAAATTATATTATTGTTATTATTATTTTAACCATAATTTAATTCACACTCAACTTTGGCTCCTTCCTTATTTTTTTATTTTCTTGTTTTCCTTTTATTTTGTTTATTTATTGTTCCTTTTCTAATTTCATTTAACTTCTTTTTTTCTGTTATTTTATTTTTCTCTTCATAGTCTAATTTTATTGACTTTTTTTGCTCTTTTGTATTATTCTTCTTTTTTTGTTACATTCTTCCTTTTTTTATTATTTTGTAATCCAATTATTAGAACAACTTATAAAGAATTGAAAAAAACATGAAATCTCTGCTGAGAAGTTGAAAAAGAACTCAATGAGAATTTCAAAGAGGACCAAATTGTAATAGTATACTGTTATATTATATAGTATACCGTAACAATATACCATTGGAATAAAATGTATACCAAATGATATATAGTATATCATTCTGGTATGCCAGTATAAATTCTTCTTCTCCAGTTCAACTCAGATTTAACCCAAAAGCAGTCTAAACATGATTTAGTGATAATAAGTAGCGAAAATACAACCCGACACAGCCCTAATCGGGGTGTCACAAGTCACGAGCATCTACTAGGGTATAAATACAACTGAAAATCTGAAGTGTACAAATACAGACTAATGAAATGAAGAGAGAGAAAAGCAGTGTTGCGAACGCCGACAGCTACCTTGCTAAACTCCGATGACTCTGCCTCCGATCAACCAAAACCCACTACCGGGTGTATAAATACTTGAATCTGCACACAAGGTGTAGGGAGTAAAGTGAGTACTCCAACTCAGTGAGTAATAATCATAACTAAAGCCTGAATGGTAAGAAATCACGTAAAGCATATCAAGATGTTGTATAGAAGCAGTTCAGAAACCAGTAAGAAAGCAGTGAAGCTGTAAAAATCTTTTAAAACATCTTAGCTCAGTTTAAACTTCTTTGAAAATGATTTTTTCAACAGTTACACAAATGAATGCAAAACAGTTAGTGCAGATAAGCACAGAAATCCGCCCCTCGGCCACAAATACCATAGTTTATATGGTAAATGACAGGTAAATATGAAAGATAAACACATAAAGGTTCGCCCCTCGGGCACGATGTTAACAACTCCGCCCTTCGGGCCATATCTCAGAACAATACCAGCCCCTCGGGCAATCACATAGAACGGTACCAGCCCCTCGGGCAATCACATAGAACGGTACCAGCCCCTCGGGCAACCACATAGAACAATACCAGCCATTCGGGCTATCACATAGAACAATATCAGCCCCTCGGGCTATATCTCACATCACAATGGGTACCCGCGCTCACTGGAGGTGTACAGACTTCGGGGAGGGCCCTTACGGCCCAAGTGCAATATCAAGCCACCTCGTGGCATCATAAACAGGCTCTCGGCCTCATATCAATATAGCCACCTCGTGGCGCACAATCTCAGGCCCTCGACCTCATTATCATAATCAGTATCTCACTGTTGCGGCGTGCAGCCCGACCCAAAAGTATCTTCACAATACAGACCCTCGGCCTTACTCAGTCAAAAATCACATAAGCCACTCGGGCAATAGTAAAACATAACACTCAGCCCAAAATATTATTTAAAATATTATTTCAAGTGTTAAAGCAGAATAAACATGGCTGAGTTTTGAAAATTGTGGAAAATAACATGATTGAGTTCAAGTATAAAGTCAAAACAATGAGGAAATATCAACAAAAAACCCCGAATGGTTCAAATAGTTGGCACTAGGCCCAAATATGACTTTCAGCCCAAATAATGATGATAGCAAATAGTTTTCAATCAAATACGTGGTAAAATCATCAATCGAAAAGGACCAAGTCGCAATCCCCAATAGTTCACGACCCCACGCTTGTCATCAAGCGTGTGTCTCACCTCAATATAGCACAACGATGTGCAATCCGGGGTTTCAAACCCTTAGGACATCATTTACAATCATTACTCACCTCTAACTAGCTAAATCTCTAGCTCGCGACGCCTTTGCCCCTCAAATTGGCCTCCACACGCGTCGAATCTATCCAAAATCAGAACGTGGACGTCAAAATATGCTAAGGGAACAAAGCCCAAGCAAAAACAATCAAAATATGACACAATTCCCGAAATTACCAAAACCCGAGCCCCGGGGCCACGTCTCGGAATCGGGTAAAATTTACATTTTCAGAATCCTCATACCCTCACGAGTCTAACCATACCAAAATTATCCAATTCCGGTACCATTTGGTCCTTCAAATCATCATTTTATATTTTTGGAAGATTTCACAAATTTTCTTCCCAAATTCCATCCCAAATCACGAATTAAATGATGAGTTCAATGATAGATTCATGTACTCTAGCCAAATCTGAGTTAGAATCACTTACCCCGATGAATTTTTTGAAAAACTTTTGAAAAATCGCCAAAATCCGAGATCTCTAGGTCAAAATATTAAATAAAATCCAAAACCTCGTATTTATAGAGTACCCCGCGAATTTCCACATCTGTGGACTGCACAAAAACGACCGCGGTCCGTACAAAACCAGTGCGGTCCACACAAAAATAACTGCGGTCGCACAAGTTTTTATCTGCAGTGACAAGCTTTAGTAATTTGGCCATAACTTTTGATATAGATGTCCAACTTGCGATATCTTTACCTTTCTAGAAACTAAACACGAAGGACTACAACTTTTGTTTTTGAATTATCTCAAAATTCCTTGTAGATCAAAAGATATGAGCTTCCGAAGTAAGACCAGTGAAATGTTCCCCACCGCCGACGCACTGCATTTTGTGCGGTCCGCACAACACCTACCGCAGATGCACTTCATTTTGTGCGGACCGCGCTGGTGGGTTCTGAGGTCTGCAACCCTTCTGGACCTGCTACAACTATGATTTTCGGCCTAAAATATCCCGGAACCTACCTGGAACTTCAAACCAATTGTACCAACACATCTCATGACATCGTTCACACTTGTTCAAAACTTCGGAATGCTCATAACAACATCAAATCACCAATTTAACATATGATTCAAGCCTAAGAACTCCAAGAACTCTTAAATTATGCTTTCGATCAAAAAGTCTATCAAATCTCGTCCGAATTACCTGAAATTTTTCACACACATCCCAAATAACACAACGGACCTACTCTCATTTCTAGAATTCCATTCCGACCCGATATCAAAATCTCACCTATCAACCGGAAAACGCCGAAATCTCAATTTTGCCAATTCAAGCCTAACCTTCCACGGACTTCTAAAATGCATTCCGATCACGCTCCTAAGTCCCAAATCATCTAACGGAGCTAACCAAGCCATAAAAATTCCAATCCGAGATCAAATACACACAAGTCAAATCTTGGTCAAACGTTTTAAATTTTAAGCTTTCAACTGAGACTGTTCTTCCAAATTCATTATGATTAACCTGAAACTCAATACCAACGATTTACATAAGTCATAATACACCACATGGGGCAAGTCATGCCCGAAAACTGGCGAGCGAAGTACAAATGCTCAAAACGACCGGTCGGGTCATTACATCCCCCCACTTAAACACATGTTCGTCCTCGAACGTGCCCAGAGTTGTTCCAGAAGCCAATCAATTGCTGAATAACTTTACCATGCATATACCCGGGGGTGATCCCATGTCACCATATCTCACAAAGGTTCGATAACACAATGCAACTAAAAATCACAATCCAACCTAGCCCATAAATCTTAGAACCCCATTTCCACTTCCGAAATCATCCACAAGATCAGAATCTCACATCTATATTCAGAATAAACCCGGACCAGCTGTAATAACCCATACTTGCAACCTCAGGTGCAATTACATGATAAACCACGTAAATCAAACGTTCGTAGCGATAACTTCTATTCACAGCAGCTGCCCACAACAACCGAATACCGGTAGAAAACCTCTTATCAACTAATGTCTCATTCCAACACTTTCATATACTGCCAACGATAAATGAAACACGCAATAAACCATAACCATTTTTCAAATCAACCATTCATGAAGCCACTTCTCCTTTGGCAAATACCATAGCAAATTTCCGAGTCGAACCTCGATATTATCCTTCTAACATGCTGGAATCGAATCCGTTCGTATTCATTAATGATCCCAACGATCTCCTCTAATCCAACACACCACTTTGGTGACATGATACATCAATATAGGCCTAAGTCACAACTTGCATAATATGTGCATCAATAAGCAACAGTCCGGACATACTCAAATCATAAAAATGACTCAAATAAAAGAGTTGTACCTCAAGCTCACCAGTACCACCACAACACAAGGCTGAGAACTCGTCTCACATCATAGGAACAGAACACACGAATCTAACATGTAGGGTCATACCTCCACATATATTCGCTGCAATGTGCGACCTTATCCAAACACTGCTCCATATGAAATACCTCAAGTCACTCTGCTCGAAATTAACGACCACGCGCAATTGATGTCTAGAATAAAAGTAAATCATCATAACCACGGTAAAGCAAGTACATAACACCGCACAACCCGAAAGGGCATAACAAATGCGCCATCCGCCAAGTAATATCCAATACTCCTCCCGCTCGAATCCTGCTGAGAGACCCCAATAACACCGCACCACATGTGCCGATAACCACATACGGTAGAAAGTTAACTTTACCGATTTTCTATAGTTTAGTGACTTTCTAAGTAATGAATAAATATTCTTTTATTTGATTACTTGTATTA